AGGTCCGTACACACATGCGTAAGAGGTTCTAGGACACCCTTCCACAAAATTCCACAAGGAGATTTCATTGATGACTGCCGCTCAAACGCCACCCAAGCGTGTGTGATAATGGCTTGAGCTCGTTAATTTAGTTTAGTTGAAATGAACCGTTTTTTTTAATGCAATTTTTTTCTCCGAATATATGATATATTTTTAATGGAATTAATTTTTTTGAAACGAAATTAAGTGTCCTATAGTCATGTTCTTGCCTTAACTTATCAGGTAACGTATCGAATAATCTCGCTGTTGAGTCCTAAAAAGTGCCGCTTTCAGTTAGAATAGCCAACTTTGGTGCTTCAAGAGATCTTAAGTTGTAGGCACTGACAGTATGGAATTTAGGGCGTGAGTAATCAGGCCAAACATCATCGTAAAGGACTTTATGGGTGGTTTTCAATAGTGCCAGGTCTCTCCTTTTAATAATTGGAAGCCAGTTTAATTTTTGCAAGTCCTCTAAAACAGCATACCGTCCAAGTACGTAGCCCACGCATGTTGTTTGAACTCTTTGCAGTCGTTTCAGTCGTTTCAGTCGTTTTCTGGGAGGGGATAGAAGGCGACACGCCGGTAGTCCAGTTTTGACATCACTAATGACTCCACTAACTGCTTGTGAACATAGTATGGTGCGAGGTTGCGCAGTTTCCGGAGAACAGCCAATGCTGCATAACAGGATGAAAGAAGTGCAGTCACTTGGTCAGCCCACGTTAGATGTTCGTCCATGTGCACCCCCTGTATCTTAGCTGTGGTGACACGCTCTAGTAGCTTCCTATTGCAGCTCACAGCTGGATAATGATTGTGTAACGCGTGAGCTCGAGACATCTGGCGGGTGGAAACAAACATCCACTTTGCTTTAGCTTTATTCAGTGCGAGGTTTGATTCAGATGAGTAGTCCCCCAAATGTGAAATTGCATTTATGTCATCAAAATTTTACTCAATGATAGCGGAATGTAATTGGTCATATGATGACTGCCGCTTAAAAGCTAGCCAGGCGTGCGTCCGCTAATTTTAGAAAGTCAATAACGGCGTGAGCTTGTAAATTAGTGTTTTGGATCTTTTAATATTTTTATTTCATCAGAACTGTTTTTCTTCTTTACTTCTCAACACTTCTTCTCAATACTTGCCAACATGTATGGAGCTATATATTGCCACATTTACCATATTCAAGCTTTTTTTAGGAATCAGAACACGAACCCGATGGTGCGTTGTTAAAGATGACCAAAGTCCGGTTAATGCATCCGCATGTGGGGGACCCCCTGAAGAAACTGAACCATGCAATACTCAACCCTGTCCAGCAAAGTAAGTTTTTTCCAAAGCCATGGGATATATCACGTGATAAATTTTAAAAATGTTCTTAACCACATCCTTAACCCTAATCGGTCGCCATACTAGTTACATATTCGTTCATGAATCATTTTCGTATTTTTTAGGTGGGTGATGAAGTGGACACCGTGTTCAAAAACCTGTGGCAAAGGCAAGCAAGTACACAGCACAAAGTGCCTTCAAAAAGTTAACGAAACTTTAGTCAGAGAGAGTGACACATGTAAAGATCCTAAACCCAACCCACCCTCCGTCCTTGTTCGGTTCTGCAATGAATACCCATGCCCTCCGCAATGGATTGTGGGAAACTGGTCAAAGGTAAACTTCTTGCTTTAATGACAATTTTATTCTCCTAAGTATGTTTAACAGATAAGTATCTTCAGTGTAGCAGCTTCTCTGATTCCAAATGTGCTCGATTTAAATGAATTGAACGGAGTCAGATCGTATGATAGAAAAATCTAAAACGGACAAACAAACAAAGGTCCAATTTTAAGAAAATATGCAGCAAAAAATGATGGCATGATGACTGGCATGGCGTTCACTGCTTGTGTTGTTCCTTTGCAGTGTCCTCTGAAGTGCGGAGTTGCGACGATACAGCGAAGTGTCTCTTGCTCTCGAGTCGATGAAGCTGGGAATTGGACTGTCATAGCGGATGTATTTTGTCGGTACCTTGATAAACCTGTTTCAAAAGCCAAGTGCAATGAGGATGATCCTTGCGGACGTGAGTCACTGACAGTTTAGCCCTGTTTAGTTTATGTAAAGACTTTGCAATAGTCCAATCAGTCTGAGGACGCTGGAGGTTTAGAATGCGCGCGGGCCGAACCCTTACCGGTAATTTTGTATCAATTACATTGAATCAATTACCTCTGCATATGTAATTGATGTTTGTAGTTTGACAAATTGTCCTTGAGTGCACATGTGCTAGAAGTGTTAATTGTCTATTATCTATTATACATCTATCATTTTCACTTGCCTTTTTCGCATGTAGCAAGACCGCCTACTTGCCCAGCAAACCATTTGTGTTCTAATGGAGGCCAATGTCATCCAGATCCTGCAGGATATCAGTGTGTTTGTGACAGAGGATTTACTGGCGTAGAATGCGAGAGTGAGTAACACATTATAAACCACGTTAAGAGCAGGCAGGGTAAAGTATTTGAAAAAGTTAAGAGATATTTTGTTTCCGCATCAATATCAAAACTGTAAGGTCGGTACGGTTTAATACACCGATAGATGTCTAATCAGTCTCAACGATTAGGGGAACTAATGCCCGACTAGACTAAAGGTGATGTTAAACGGGACGATTCGCAACAGCGATTTTTAGCGCAACATAGCGTTGCTCTGTTAGAACAGTGTTGTAACTATTCGAAACAATGTCGCAACAATGTTCCAACGCTGTGTTGCGCTAGAAATCGTCGTTGCGAATAGTCTCGTGTAACATCACCTTTACACTGTAAGACGTAACAATCAAATGAACTGGAAAAAAAGATAGATATTGAAAAAATTAATTTATTAACTGCCGTCAAATAGCTAGTTCAGTAACCAATCAAGATGGGGAATAAATGAATTTGTCGAATTTTCTGCTCTACCATTGTCATCTACATGGGTTATGAAGCCATATTGCTTCATTTGAACAATCGAGTAACTTTCTATTGGAAATTGGCATGAGCTTACTGTTCACATGTTAAAAATGTATAGATGCTTTTCACTGTGACGTCATCCAATTGCAAAGTCAAAATAGCGAGGTTTTTCCGAATTCTTATGTACACTAGGTGGAAGATAACCAAACAGAAAATCTTTGTACAAGTTTCCATTGCCGTAGCATGTTTTATTTCGAAAATACAGCAATTTGAACGAGTTTTCACAGTGCGTGACACCAAAAGAGGAATGCTGTCTCGTTGAAAAAAAGTCTTCCCTCTTGATTTTCAGCAGTATGACCTCTTCAAGTATTAGAGGATATGTTTATGAGTACGTATGTTAGTTCTCGAGTGAAAAGAAAGAGCTTTTATAGAAAAAGTGAACTCCAGATGTTTTTGTTGATTTCCGGCGGCATATTGGTGCACAAAAACGGTTGCACCAATATGGCGTCTCCATACAAAGCTCTACAAAGGTGCGTGAAACGTTTCGGCAAAAAACTCAGAAACTGTGGGCCACAAAGACCTGAGACTTGGACAAGTTGTTTATATATTAATTGTTTATAACATTTCATTTTCTTGGCTTCTTCCACTGGACGGTTTCCAATTTAATTTTTTGTTGCGTGACAGTGAAAACGATCTGTTGTAAAGAGGGCACGTATATTGTCCTCTCATCCACGACTCTTCATTCTCTTCATTCATTCATTCGAAATAACGTCTCAGTCATTAAGAAAAAGAGATGAACATATTTTGAGTTTGTTTGATTTTTTGGTTCTGTTTTGTAGTAAAACTAAATCCTTGCGAAAGTAATCCATGCTTGAACGGAGGCAGCTGTTCGCCAGGTGTTATTCACCATTACGACTACATTTGCAAGTGTAAAGAACATTTTATGGGAAAAAACTGCGAGAGTAAGTGTCACTTTTATTAACTATACATCAACATCAATGAATGTTTTACAACCTGGAGTAGCTAAACAATTAAGCGATCAGACATCCAGGTAATTACCAATCGGGTGGATTGGGACTTACAAGTCGTCTAAACATTTTTCAACTAAAAGGCGTTATCCTCACAACGTCCGAAACTTCTGTCAACTATTCTTTGCTTGCACAGTCATAATAATAATAATAATAATAATAATAATAATAATAATTTTATTTATATAGCGCTAAAATCCAATAATTGTCCAAAGCGCTACCTAATTACAAAAAAGAATATTAAAAAAAAAAAATTCTAAATTATAAAATATCTACAATATACAATATAATTCAAATATAGCCTAAGTTATCTACTATATAAATCAAAAACATCTTAAAACAAAAGGAATCTCATAACCTATATGCTAACTTAAATAAAAAGGTTTAAGGGATTGCTTAAAAGTTGCCACTGAAGCACATTTCCTAATCTCTAGAGGTAAATCGTTCCACAATTTAGGTCCTGCAATAGAGAAAGCTCTGTCTCCATATGTCTTCAATCTGCTTCTTGGAACCACTAAATATTCTTTACATGAAGAACGCAATGACCTAGAGTATGTTTTAAAATTCAAAAGGTCAGAAATATAAGAAGGTGCAAGGCCATGAAGGGCCTTGTATACCAATAAAAGGACTTTAAAAGTTAGTTTTTACAGTCATATAAAACACCTGACGCTTGTGATAATCCTGAAATGTAAATTTATTGTTTCCCAGCTAATAAAATAGACCGAGAGGCTACTGATTACTGTAAAATGCTTGAAAAATATTATCCTCTTCTTGACTTTAGGTGCAGTGACTGCTTGTATGGTAAACCCATGTTTAAATGGCGGCAAATGCACTGATAACGGTGCGCATGACAAATACACTTGCAGATGCACAGATGGATACTCAGGAAAACAGTGCCAAGGTAAAAAATTAAAAAAATGTTAACAAAATATAACTGAACAGATAAATAAACAACTAGAATGTACACTCAAGTGATGAGACAAGGTGCAGGCGAAAAACCATTATTTACCACATTTCCAGGTTAATTGATCTCAACGCGGTCAAT